TAGATTTACACCTCGATCCTCTTATTTAAAAATTGGAAAATTGTAACTAACGGATTTTACTTTCCAATACGGTAAATCGTCTTGCTACCTGTAACAACACTAATCCAATAATTAATTAAAGGAATCCTATTGCACTTCGGGGTGTACATGGCCCCTCTATTAAAAGAAGGAATTAAAAACATATAAAACAGAAACATATTGACTGTTTTCATTACCGAATTTCCTCCCTTCTCGTATTTATTGAATGCTTATAGTCCCGTATCTAGAAACATTTGAAGCTAGATATTGCGCATGGTGTGTGTGTGTGTGTGTGTGTGTGTGTGTGTGTGTGTGTGTGTGTGTGTGTGTGTGTGTGTGTGTGTGTGTGTGTGTGTGTGTGTGAATGCGTGTGTGTGTGTGTGTGTGTGTGTGTGTGTGTGTGTGTGTGTGTGTGTGTGAATGCGTGCGCGTGTGCGAGTGCTTGTCCGTGTGCGTGTGCGAGTGCGTGTGCGTAAGTGAGTGAGTGTATGTGTGTGTGTGTACGTGTGCGTGTGCGAGTGCGTGTGCATGTGTGTGTGTGTGTGTGTGTGTGTTTGAGTATGTGTGTGCGTGTGTGTTGTGCTTATAATTCGAAACAACTTCACATAAGCCTAGCATAGCTATTCTTCTCACTGGAAATTGTTCCTCAATTACCCTGTTCACCCAGGCTTTTCCCTTCCTCTTCACAAAGCGTTTTTTTCTGTTACATTATTACTTCATTAACTGTAAAAAACAAAAATAGACATATATATCAAAAGGTATCTTTCCTGGATTTTGAAATTCCTTTCAGCTATAACGTCATTTTCGCAAACAATATGAGAGATAAAAAAAAAATAATCTTTTCACATCTTTATAAAAGGCGGTTCTTACCAACATGCATAAACAACAGCCTTGGAAACAAACGGTTGATGTGCAGATCAAATGTAGCACCGTAATTCTTGCATCATTGCAACGGATTTGCATTCAGTTCCACTGGTCTATCAGGAACCTCCTACTTGGGTAAACAATTGCTTTCGCTGAATTTGAATTAAAAAAGAAAAGCAAAAAAAAAAAAAGAAAAAGAAAATAAGGAGGGGAAAAAAAACAACGAGAAAATACCTAGTAAAGAGATTATTCTAAACAACGGGCCGAACGAGGGTTTGTGTGACGGAAAGCAGATCTTCATCGAATATTCATTTATGGCAATATCCGATCCCTTTCAGGTAATTCATTCTCTTCTCTTCACCCATTTCAAAGAATCTGCTCTCCCCCCCCCCCACCCCCACCCCATCCCCCCAACGCCCACCCCCACCCCCCTCCAACACATCCACCACCACCACAAAAAAAAAAAAAAAAAATCGAACCGCATTCCCATCCACAGCTCGACCGACAAATGCTCTTGATGCAATTGATAAATGCATTCTAACCCGTTATTCACTTGTTCTTTCATTGGTCATTTTTATTCAATTTCCACCGATTGAGCGAGGCGACCATTGGCGAGGCGACGACAAAGTGGCGAGAGAGTAATCTTTATATCTCTCTCTTTACCTGTCTCTTTGTCTGTCTATCTGTCTGTGTGTCTGCCTGTCTGTCTGCCTGTCTGTATATCTGTCTTTCTGTCTATCTGTCTGTCTGTCTGTCTGTCTGTGTGTCTGTCTGTTTGTCTGTCTGCCTGTCTGTGTGTCTATTTGTTTGTTTGCCTATCGGTCTGCCTGTCTATCCACCTTCCTCTGTGTGTGTGTGTGTGTGTGTGTGTGTGTGTGTGTGTGTGTGTGTGTGTGTGTGTGTGTGTGTGTGTATGTGTGTGTGTGTGTGTGTGTGTGTGTGTGTGTGTGTGTTTGCCTGCCTGCCTGTGTGTCTGTCTATCCGTCTATCCGTCTGCATTTCTGCTTGCCTGTCTGTCTGCCTGCCTGCCTGTCTGTCTGTCTATCTGTCTATATTTCTATCTATCTACCTTTTCTATATCTCTCTGCATATCTTTCTTTCTATCTATGTCTATATTTCTCTTTCTATTTATCTATCCCTTTCTAGTCTCTCTGCACATCCTTCCATCTATCTATCTCTATATTTCTATCTACATATCTTTCTATCTATCTTTTCACCTATCTACCTATCTACCTATCCATCTACTTATCTATCTATCAATCAATCCATCTATCCGTGCATTTCCCAGAAGGGCTCGTCTTTCACCTTCATTCCTCCTTTGTCATTATATAAAATACACTGACTTACACATCCCACACACCTCACCTTATGTCGGGTTCCTTTTTACTCACTAGGACGCTACAGAGATTATAAGGAAGTCGCTCCATCTACACTGCGAGGACTGAGAGGCATTATACTGACCTGTGCTGCCACGTGACCTCTGCGCAGACGAGGCAGGTCCGTGTGCGAGAAGGGAGATTTCATCCAGGGTTTCTCCTGCGCGAGGTCGGCTGACAGGTTGAAGGAGTGGAGTTTGTTGTGCAGGAACATGCGCAGGTTCCATGCCAGGTCGTTGTGG